GATCCTCTGGAGGTAGTCTAGAATTTCCGAAAAATTACTGCCCCATTTGCTTTCCAACCCAAATCCTCGGAATTTCTTGTTAAATGGTTAGCACCCCGCCTCAGTGCAGTTAGCTGAACAAGACAAAACATAGAAAGCATTATATACACACACTCCAACTAGTCTTTTTGGTGGTGCTATCGAAGTGCTGTGGAAGCAGCCTAACGCCTATGCGACATTTGCGAGGACTAGCGGCGATTTTTTGTTAATTACAATAGAAGTAAGAGGGAAAATATTAACATCGGAGACTCAAGGATGTCCAAAGCTGCTTTGAAGGATTATCTCTTTATTGTAGATGTTATCTTCAGTTTACTTCAGTTCAGTGTTATCAAAGATTGAATGAGTCATGTAAATATAAAAATAGCTAACACAGTAACTCCTGCATGTCTCTTGAAGATCGTCAGTAAAATGCTTTCAATTGTGAATAAGTGAATTGTGATGCCGAAGCTTCATCACGTTTCGTGTATGTAAATGCAAGTGTCTCGGAAATGGAAGAACACAACAAATATATAGACCTTTAGTCTGTAAAAAGGCATATCAATAAAAAGACATCAAAAGGTCGATATCCTGCATCCTGCATTGAACTGTGTACTCATAACTCTAACGGTTCTACAGTCGGGGGAAAAAGTTTCGTTTTCGGTAAATCCAGCTTCGTTGCAGCACCCGAAATATTTCCGATTCTTAGTATCCAGTCACAAACTAGCACGAATACTGATGAGTACTTCAAAACCTGTCATGACAGCATGACGCAATGTTGCCTAGCAACTTCGAGGACTGACCAAACTGAAGCGTGGGCTCAGTTTATGTCGTCATCAACTGGTACTTATCCCCCGACCGTGTCTAGTAAAACCTGCTGATTTCTAGTCTGCTGGCAGCCGGATTTTTCTCCAAGGGTCACTAGGATGAGTATGCAGTCATCGCGAAGGCAAAAAGGCGCTATGGCGGTGGCCGAGTAGGGAAGAAGGCGGGACAACAAGGCCGATAACGGAAGAAGGCGAGACGAGAAAAAACCGTTTTTCTTCTCGTGCGTGCCGCGCCTATGTCTCGTCCCATTCCCCTTTAGCCAAAACGTCTCGCCTCCAAACCCCTACTGAATTTCGAGAGGAAAACTGATTGTCAGCAGTCTAGCTGATTTCAAACTAGGAAGACAACTTTTCCATTTAAGCCAAGTTCGATGTGTTACAATTCAAACTAGGCTCTTAAGCTAAAGGAAATACAACGAAAGAAATTTTTAATCACCTCCTAACCTGGATACAATTTCTTCTGTTTTATTGCACCTATGGTTGAAGTCAAGTTAGAATAAGTTTTAAAATTGCTAATAATGAAACATGGAGGTGTAAATCTTGTGGGTTGCGACATTTGTCTTGCACTTCGTCGTAGATCAATCCAGAGGGCAGAATGCAGGCAATGCACAATTTTAGTATAACGTTTTGTACATGGCTTTATTAAGGATTAATTAAGTGTTTGTTTTTTACTGTAAGCCCCTGTGGGTATGTACATATACGCGAAGAGTTTTCAATTCCAAACATTGTCG